CGAAATAATTGATTTGGCTTAGGTTTTGGACAGATGTTGGGTTCTTGGGGGCCTCCTTGAGAGTCTCCGTGGCCACCTTGGGGCCACCTTGGGGCCATCATGGGGCCTCTTGGATGTATCTTTGAAGCTATCGTGGGCCAACTTGGATCATTTTGCGGCATCTTGGAGGACATCTTAAAGAGTCTGGAGCCACCGTGGATCCCACATGGTTCACAAGCCTCCGATGGATACCCCCGAAAAGCCAACGTCGTTGAACATCCTTATGTTTTTCAGTGTTTGTGTTGATCAAGGAGGGGTGTACTCAAGTCTAGACGCTTCGCGCAACCCACCAGCCAACCCAGAATCGATGCCCAGACGAGTTGCCCTGATAGGGGGATGTGGATCAGGACGCTGTGGAATGAAGGGCCAGGTAAGGCGTCGTGCCCGAAGAGGGGGAGGATAGCGGAGTAACCAGAGGAGGAGCAAGAGGAAGCGGAGAAGGAGTAGGGAGAGGGAGGGAGGGAGAAGGACGAGGACGGTGAAGGAACAGGCGGATGAGGAAGAGGAGGATGCGGAGGAGGGCAAGCATAAAGGTCAGATGCTTCTTGGATGTCTCTCGGAGTCTCTTCGGATTTCTTTCGAGGGTTTCTTGGAGTCCTCTTGGGGCGTCTTGGGGTCTCTTGGCAGCCCCAGGGGCCTCATGGAGCCTTACTTCAGGTCCCCCCCAGGAGCCCAACATGTTGCCAACACCTTATTCACATCATTGATTTTGGCCATCTCGCCGAGGCCCCTTAGAACGTCTTGGGTGCCTCTGGGGGGCCTCTTGGAGCGCCTTGGGTGTCTCTTGGGAGCCTCTTGGGGACCTCTTGGGGGCCTCTTGGAGCCTCCTGGACACCTCTTGCGGCCGTCTTGGGGCACCCTTGGGAGCATCGGGGATCAGCTTGGAACCATCTTGGAGGAGATCGATCAAAGCAGGGGGGCTCCTTTTTTAAGGTGCCCCCCTCCAATACCATTGTACAATCATTGATTTTGGCCATCTCGCCGAAGCCTCTTGTGGTGTCTTGGGTGCAAGTGGGGAGCGAGCGTCTTGGGGGGCCTCTTTGGAGCCTCTTGCGGGTCATCTCGGGGGCCTCTTGGGGAGCATCTTGAGGGCTTTAGGGGCCGCTTTGAGGCACCCTCGGGAGCCTCGGGTGTCATTTGGGAGGAGATCGATCAAAGTATGGGGCCACCTCAATTACCCCACCCCCAAGAGGCCAACATGTCGCCATATTCTAAGTATGTAAATGGTTCTGGCTTCCTCGCCGAGACCATTCGGACGTTCCAACGACTCGGGAGACGCCCCGTCCAGAACCAGGGGGTAGGAGGATGGTCAAGACACCCTCTAGATAGCAAGCCGTCTAGCTCACTCCCACCCGCCCTCCCAACACATTAGTAACACCCGAGCCTGAGCATGTTCAGCGGTCGTCTTTGGATGGATAGTTATTGGGAACCAACATCGACCCCATGTGCGCGACGCTGGGGCGAGGTGCGCCACGCGTGCCAGGCGCGCCACGCGCGCCAGGCACCCCTGGGGCCCAAGCGTGCCAGGCACGCCTGGTGCTCCCGCCAGATGCGCCACATGCTGCGAATGCGCCAGGTGTGCCGCATATTCCAGCCGCGCCATGTGCGCCACGTTCGAGGCACGTGCAGATTGTGTCAGGTGCGCCTGCGCACGTGACAGCACACATCGGGAAACATGTCGGCCCCCACCATCCTTTTCCAAAACCAATGCCCATCATTGTGTCTGGTGGGCCTGCGCACAGCAGGCCACACGCCACCACCCTGGTCGCGGGGTGGCCGCGCATGATCCAGATCTAGCCACGAGGGGCATGTTGTATTGTTTTTTTGTCAGGGGTGGTAGCCCTGCGCACAGCAGGGAACATGCTGACACCCCGCCGGCCCTGTCAAAAACAATATGTTCGCGGGCCTCTCGAACATGACTCAAGACTTTGCCCCACAGTGTACTTTGTATTGTTTTGACAGGGGTGGTGGGGGTTGGGCCGCATCGGGTTGGCCGCGCGTGCTTCAAATGTGGCGGCAGAGTGCGTTTCGTTTTGTTTTTTGAAAGGGATGGTGGGGGGGGGTCCTCATGGTGTCCTCATTGTTCCTGGTTGGCTATCAGTCGCCTGGGGGAGGGGGTGTATATTATTACATAGGGGGCAGTGGTTGAAGCCCCTCCCCGAAGGGGAACAACTGGGGCTGGAATGAGAAACTCGCTAAACTACACACGCACTAAAGGGCTGGTGGGATTAGCTTCGCCTCTCTGGAGCCGTCGCCTCTTGGGGCCCTCCTGGGGCCGTCTTGGGGGGGGCCCTTTAAGAGCTATCTTGAGGACTCCGGTGGACATCTGACGCGAAAATGCGAGAAGTCCACAAGCATTGTTTTTCCTATTGTTTTTGAAGGCTTTGGGCCTCTTGGGGGCCTCCTTGGGGGGGGGCTCCGAGGCCACTTGGACCCGTCTTAGACTGGTCTTGGGGTCTCCTGGAGCATGTTGGAAGCCATCTTGAGCGGTCTTGCATTATCTTGGACCATCTGACCACCCTCGTCCTTCTCGTCATCGTTTGTTATGTCCCTAATCCCCCTTCTGCCTCTCCTCCTCTTTCTCCTCCTCCTCCTCCTCCTTCTTGCCCTCGCACTCCTAGCCAGTGTTACGCACCTGGGGAAGACGTGGGAGCGGGAAGGACCTCGGCGGCGACATCGCCGTGCACGTCGGTGGCGGCGTTCGCGGGGCCTCAGCAGCAGCCGCGTGGCCGCGGTCGTCGTCGATGTCATCGGCGTCGGTGTCGTTTTCGTCGTCGCCGTCGGCCGCCTGCTTTTACGGCTCAGGAGCGCGCGAGAGTCCGCCCTGCCCGTCCGCAGCTTTGCCGCCGCGCGACCGTGTCGAGAAGACCCAGCCAGGCCGCGCCTGGGCTCCGTCCTGCCGTCCCCTCAGCGTGCTCCCCCTGCTAACGATGACCGACCCGCTGAACGCACAGCAGCCCCGTGTGGGTCCACCTCGTCAGCTTGCGACGTCAGAACCCTTGGGGACCGTCGGTACACCCCGCGCTCCACACGTGTGGCGATGGGATTCTAGCGGTAAAGCACGTCCTAGACATACACGAGGGAGGAAATAGGAGGAGGAGGAGGAGGAGGGAGGAGGAGGAGGAGGAGGAGGAGGAGGAGGAGCAGGAGGAGGAGGAGGTGTGGGCGGGGAATGAAGGGGAGGAGGATAATTAGGAGGAGGAGGAAGGAGGATGGAAGAGCGGGATCTACCTCCCCCCTTCCCTTACTTCTCCTGCTCCTCCTGCCTCACCTCGCGGTGCGGGAGGCACTGGCTTAGACAAGGGCTCCCTCGAGGGCGCGAAGTTATTCGCGCTTCGCGGTCCTCGTTCCTCCTCCCCCTCCTCCTCGTCCTCCTATTCTCCCTTTGGGAGGGCGGCGCGAGAGCGCGAAGTTATTCGCGCTTCGCGCTTCGCGCAGCGCGAAGCGCGAAGTTGGGAGCCCTAGCTTAGAGGGAAGGGTGCCGAGCCCGCGTTTGTGTTGCTGCTTCTGCCGCCGCCGCCGCTGGCAGACCTGATGGGGTCAGCGTCAGCGCGGGCGGGCAGGAGGGGCAAGCTCAGTAGCTGCAGCAGTAGCATAATGTGCGGGTAGAGTGATCGCATTGAGCATGACTGGTGCTTCTCAGGGTACTCCCAGGGTATTTCACCCCCTGCTTCGAGAAAATGGGCCCGTCCAGGCAGGCAACTTCCGCCTCGAGACGAGTTCCTGTGGCGGTCCCTTCGCTTGGACCCTGAGCCAATTCGAGTTTCCCGTTGGATTTCCGGCAAGCCTGTGCACGTGGCGTAAGTCATCATGTTTCTTTTGTGGCGAGTGCGGGTCTTGGGCCAACAGGTCCCCCGGTGTTTTCTTGAGGGGTCCGTGTCTTGCCGTCACGCACGGACCGCATGCTGAAACCAAGGCGCAGTTGGAAGTTTTGGCAGAGGATTTGTAAAGGACTTCCTCCGGCGAAGACCGCCGCATCTTGGGCTGATGCATACATGTTCTGCCCTAGCGGCCAGTCCCTGGCAGGCTTTCTGCCCTTGGAGCCTGTGTGTTAGCGGTGCACTGTAAAACAAATCTTCCTCCTCCTCCTCCTCCTCCTCCTCCTCCTCCTCCTCCCGTCCAGTCCCTGACGACCCTGGGCCTCAGCAGGCGGTGCGCCGTGCCTACTCGGCCTCGCCGCAGCGGCCCCGCGTCTTGTCGCAATCGGAGCCTTCCCTCCGCGGGCCCCTTCGGCCCGCCCGTGTGGCTCCGTGGCCGTGGCTGCTGCTCCTCTTCGCTGTTCGTATTGTGCACGCGCGCTGGCTCTGAGGTTCGGATTCGGAGAGTTTCGGGCGTTTTTGTCTTCGGTTCTCGGCGGCCTTCCAGCCTAGTGACGTGTTCCAGCGGCTGCGCCTCGCCGAGAGCGTTCCATGGCGTGCTGGGATCGTCCCGAACGGCCGATGGAGACCCGAATTTGACCCGAAACCCACAGGGCAACGCTGGGGGCGGGATGGGCTCGGAGAAGGGGTGCATCGACCCCCGATCGCCCGGCTGCCTGCGGCAAGTCCAGCCACCGTCCCAGCCCAGCATTTTGGGTGGCGATTGTTCGACAAGGGCACGGGAGGCTGTCACGTGTGACACCTCCTGTCCCCAGGCTTGGGAGATCCGTGATGAGGATGGTGAGAACTATGACAATGAAGGTGACGAGCATGAGGAAGAGGATAAGCGAGGGTGCCCTCGAGGGCGCGAAGTGATTCGCCCTTCGCGCTTCGCGTTGCGGCTCCGATTCCTCCTCATCCTCCTCTTCTCCCCTGGCGGGGCGGCGCGAGAGGGCGAAGTTATTCGCACTTTGCGCTTCTTGCAGCGCGAGGCGCGACGTTAGGCGCCATTGAGAAGGAGGAGGAGGAGGAGGAGGAGGAGGAGGACGAGGACGAGGTCGAGGTCGTTTGCCGCGCGCAGGCGGCCAGAAGCTCGCCGCAGCGATGGCCCCAGCACGCCTCCGAGCAGCACTGGTCCTCGGCGCCATCCAGGCGGCCTCCGCGGCGCGCGGCGTTCGCTCGCACGCGACCAGCGCCGGCGAGGACAGCGACGAGGGCGACGAGGACGAAGACGAGGATTGCGACAAAGACCAGGGGAGGGAGGAGGAGGAGGAGGAGGAGGAGGAGGAGGAGGAGGAGGAGGAGGAGGAGAGGAGGAGGCGAGGAGGAGCAGGAGGAGGAGAAGGAACAGGAGGAGGAGGAGGAGGAGGAGGAGGAGGAGGAGGAGGAGGAGGGAGGAGGAGGAGGAGGAGGAGGGGAGGAGGAGGAGGAGGGAGGAGGAGGGGAGGAGGAGGAGGAGGAGAGGGGGGAGGGGAGGAGGAGGAGGAGGGAGGAGGGAGGGAGGGAGGGAGGGAGGAGGGAGGGAGGGAGGGGAGGGAGGGAGGGAGGGGGAGGAGGGAGGGAGGGAGGGGAGGGGAGGGGGAGGGGGAGGGAGGGAGGGAGGGAGGGAGGGAGGGCGGGAGGGAGGGAGGGAGGGGAGGGAGGGAGGGAGGAGGGAGGAGGGAGGGAGGGAGGGAGGGAGGAGGGAGGGAGGGAGGGAGGGAGGGAGGGAGGGAGGGAGGGAGGGAGGAGGGAGGGAGGGAGGGAGGGAGGGGAGGGAAGGGGAGGGGATGGGAGGGGAGGGGGAGGGGAGGGGAACGAGGGAGCGTGGAGCGAGGAGCGAGGGAGGAGGGAGGGGGAAAGAGGGAAAGGAGGAGGAGGAGGAGGAGGAGGATGAGGGAGGAGGGGGCAGGAGAGTAGGAGGAGGGGGGAGGAGGAGGAAGAGGAGGAGGAGGCGGAGAGAGGAGGAGAGAGGAGGAGGAGGAGGAGGATGGAGGAGGGAGGAGGAGGAGGCGGAGGAGGCGGAGGAGGAAGAGGAGGAGGACGGCGACGGCAGCGGCGGCGACGACGAGCTCGCCGATGTCGATGCCGAGGACAACGGCGAAGTAGACGACTGTGGCGACGACGACGACGACGACGACGACGACGACGACGACGACGACTACGACGAAGACGACGTCGACGACGACGACGACGATACCGTCGACGACGAACATGACGCCGAGGTCGACGAGGACGAAGCCGACGAGATCGACGAGGTCGTCGATGTCGACGGCGACGACGACGACGACGAAGCGGAGGAGCAGGAGGACGGAGGATGGAGGCGGAACGTGGGAGGGGGAAGGGGAGGGGGGAGGAGCGAGAAGGTAGGAGGAAGGTTGACTTGGGAGTGTGCGTGACAGAAGGGGAGGAGTAGGAAGTCGAGGAGGGCCAAGGGATGAGGGATGGCGGGAGGACGGTTGGAGGAGGGAGAAGGGAGGAGGAAGTTGTTCGTTGTGGAAATCCCCATTGTGCATTCCAGTTCATGGCACTCGCGTCCGTCAGTGCCTGAGTGAGATATGGGCCTGCGGCGACCGAGCGTTCCCTGGGATGCTCCCCCTCGGAGTGCCTAAATGTTATTGACCTGGGGACTCTCAAAAGAAAGATATCCAGAGTGCCTAGACCAGCGTTTCGGAGGAAGGGTCCCACGCTCTGGTCGCGAAGTGGCACTGGTATCCCCCCTTAGGCCATGCCCGCTGCATCGCGGCTGGCCTGGGGCTCTCACGGAGGAGAGGAGCCCGAGGCGCCGAAACAGGAGAATCGCTCGAGACTTTCCCCCATTCTGGGCGCGAGCGGGCCCATATGATACAACCCTGCCGGCTCCCCTCTCAGGAGAGAGGTTGTCTGTTTTCGATGTATTTGCCCTCTGGTTGGAAGTCCAGAGCACCGCGGAGCTGGATTCCGTAGCCACGGTCTCGAGCGAACCTCAGTGGTGTTAGCGCCGTCGGGACCAGCATTGATACGGACGCGTCAAAAAATGAAGATAGCGCTCGTCCTTGTCAGCGCAGAGAGCTGTAGGATCCTGCCGAGCCCCTCCAGGAACGCAGCACACTTGCCACGGACTTTAATATCTCTGCGAGGGCGCCCGACGCAGCATTGAAGACTCTGGCTTGGGAGCTCACGGCAATTGGACAACAAGGACGATGGCAAATGTCTTGGATGATGTTGATGCTGATGCTGATGATGATGATGATGATGCTGGTGCTGATGATGCTGATGATGATGATGATGACGATGATGATGATGCTGATGATGATGATGCTGATGATGATGATGATGCTGATAATGATGATGCTGATGATGATGATGAAGGGGTCGACGACGGCCCTTCATCGGCGCACCGTAAGCTTCGAGGCGACGCAATGCTGGTGTCGGGACTTCGCGGGACATTTACACAATGTCGTCAGATTCTGGAAACCATCGTTTTTTACGTTGGGGATTTGCGGTGCTTTGTTGGGGACAATCACGGGATCCAGCGACCCCGGGCCCTAGCGCACCAGTCCTCTTGCTAATGGTGCGGAGGCTGGGATGACTGCGCCGGGAGATTGCCCACGTCGAACTGATAAAGCTGAATCGGACAGACGCTGGCCAATCGCTTTCCTACTACAGCTTTAAACCTGCATTCCCGCGCGGAGTCTTCAATTTGAAAAAGGAGGGGTCTGTTCGATTGGAACCTTCGCCGCCTCACGGCTAAAGCGCAACAACCTCATAACAAAACGAGCATGATATTCGAAAGATGAATTCTTCTCTGTCTATTGCAGGCTGGGTCCCCAAGCGCCATGCCTGCCACTTCGCGGTGGCCATGTGCTCTCATAAGATGAGTGCCCGAGGCGCAGAAGTAGGCGAACTGATTGAAGTAATCCCCACAATCTGTGCGCGACCAGGCCCGTGATGCACCCGTGGCGGCTCTATCCTTGGGGTGCCCGAGCGTTGCGCATCCTATATCCTAGTGATCAGGGGGCTCTCAATTACAAGAGCTGGATGCGTCGAAACAAGCGAGCCGATTGAGGCATCGTCAGACTTTCTGGCGGAAGGGCATGTTTCCCCGCCTGGACGTTCCTTCGGCGGATCGGCTTCTGGACGCTACCCCGCGTCGCCTTTCTCGAGCCTCGCGGTCCAGGCCAGAGGGCTGTCCTTTTCCAGGGAGGGGGGCAGCGGTGGGCAGGAGGGGAAAGGCGCGTCGCGCACCTTACTCTGCGCCCTCATGGGCAGCTTCTCGTTCACCCCTTCAATCTGGCTTTCTTGCTTCCGCACTGGCAGCTGCCTTACTTTGTTTTCGCGGGCCAAAATCGGCGTTTTGTTTATACAATGAGGCCTCTCGCGCTGACAGGACGCAGCAAGCATAGCACTCAATGTCCGCTTGGCGCAGAAACGTCGCGCACCGCGACCTACGCAGAGATACGGTGCCCTGCTTGTTTAGCACAGCTTCCCAAGAATTCTCGACCCTTTTCTGGGGCCCGGCAAGGGCCCCCGGAGGCCGCAATTTGCAAAACGACGCCGCCGTGACTTCCTCAACGCGCTGGAGGTCTTGGTTTGTGCAGGAGGGGACCCTTCCACGGGAGCGGCTTTCCTCGGTGTCCGCTGCATATTGTAGGCAAGCCCTGCGGTGACGTTGCATGGTCCATTTCAATCCGATCAAGATGGTTCGATCTCGGTTTTTGCCGGCCCGATTCGATTCGATTCCGATGCGGCCCGATGTTTGCATGGCTCTCTTATGCATGATGGCACGCCGATCCGATACCAGCTCCGAGTCGATGCGCTGCGATTCGATACGCGAGCCTATGCGAAACGATTTCCAGATTCGACGCCGAGTGTTCCTGGCGTCGCGATGGCAGGACGCCCTCGGCCGCTGGGGGGCCCCGCATCGCGCAAGCGCGGAACCTGGCGGCGGGGCGCGCAGGCCGCGTCGGCGGAGTCCAACTTCATGTACACGATGATGAAGGCAGGCGCGCGTGGGCGTCCCGTGGCAGAGCATCGGGCTGTCCACATGCAGCCCCCCCGAGGTTGTCCCGGCTGGCTTCGACAGGCCCCCCGAGTAGCACGGGGCGGTCTCGACACCCCAGGGCCGCCTCGGGCGGCGCCCTTGGGGCGCTCCGCGCCGAGACCGCCCCGGGCCACTCGGGGGGCATGCTGGGGCCAGGTGGGGTTACTCGTGGGGCCTGTCGGTGCCAGCTGTGATTGCCTAGGCGGGCTGTCTGTGCACAGCCCGAGGATTTGCCTGTGTGTGCAGTATTTATGGCCGTTTGGGCCTCGGGAACTATTCGCATTCCGCGCGTTCACTTCCTCTTTTGGGCCCAGGCTCACCTGCGTGACTGTGCCTGTCGCAGGTCGGCTCGTGTGAGGTCGTTTGCCTGGCGACACCTTGATTCGCACAGCGGGGAGCTAACGTCCTCATTTCAAAGATAGAGCTTTGGTGCAGCTTTCGTTGTGCAATTGTGCAGCTGTGTGGCGGCGTTTTTATTTCATCAACAAAGATGGTACAAAGGCAGGCGGGGGGCCGGGCCCGGACCTCAACGTATTGAGAAACTGATTTGGCACGAAGGCCCAGTTGCCGTGTGGTCCAGCGATCTGGGGACCCCGCATTGGAACAAACAAGACAGTGGAGCTACGTACCTGGGGGAGCGGAGGAGCGGGTGCTCAGATCGACGATCTTTCCCGAATGCGGTTATTGCATGTGGGGGGTCATTGAACGGGTCCTCCTCCTCCTCCTCCTCCTCCTCCTCCTCCCTCCTCCTCCTCCTCCTCCTCCGCCTCCTCCTCCTCCTCCTCCTCCTCCTCCTCCTCCTCCTCCTCCTCCTCCTCCTCCTCCTCCTCCTCCTCCTCCTCCCCCTCCTCCTCCCTAAGTGATTGCACGGGTGTTCCGAGGTTGCGCCACGTGGCCGCCCGTGCCGCGCCCTGGGCAGCCCGCGCGTGCGCCCCCTTTACGCGGGGCCGGTGCCCCGAGAGGCTGCGCCGAGGCTGCCGCCCCGTGGGCGCTCCGTGGGCGGAGGGTCGGAGGCCCAGGGCTTCCCGGCGATGTTTTCTGCAGCAGTCTCGGGGGCGGCAAAGAGGGGGGTGATGACTAGGGGGGGGTGGATATCATGGGGGGGGCCATGATTTTTCCCCAGATCTCATGGCGCCTCTTCTTGTTTCATTACGTCCCTGGCCCCCCCGCTGGGCCGCCCTGTGGGCGCTTCGTGGGCGGAGGGTCGGAGGCCCAGGGTAAAACGACGCGAAGATCGGGACAAAATCGGATCGGGATAACTCGAAATCTCTGAGAATCGGCGGGTTTGGAGGATGTATTTTTGGCGCCGCGGCCGCTCCAGAGCGTTCCGGGACGCTCTGAGAGCGCTCCGGAACGCTCTGGATCGATTTATCCCGATCCTAGCCCTGTTTTACAGTGCTTCCCGGCGATGTTTTCTGCAGCAGTCCCAGGGTCCGTTTCCCTCGGTTTCGGCCTCTGGGGGCCTCGACTTGCGGAGCGCGTTCCACGACTCGCACAGTGCCTGCTCGCAGACGTGTGCAACAGAAACGCGCCTTTGACTCGATGTGGTGGATCGTGTCAGTCATCCCCTGCGGCGGGTCCAGGCCATCTGCGATCAGTTACTCTGCGAGTAGTGGAACGCGCTTGTCTAGCTACTGGACCCCAAGGTCATGGAGAACTGATCCAGGGCGACAAACTGGCACGCGGGGAATGGGTCGTCGGGTGCCGATTCGTATTGGCCACCGCCCGCGCGCGCATACCTTGTGCCGGGTCAGCGGGTTTCAAAATCGTGTCTTCCAGGGATGCCATTTCGCGCGCAATCTCCGTTCCACGGTCTTGTGCTGGAACAGCTCGGTCGTCGGGATCGTGAGCAAAAATTATGTCCCCAGTGTCAAGAGCTCTGGCTGTGGATCGAGAATCATATCGGAGGATGTTGTGGGGGCGGGGGGCGGTGGCGGATGCGGGCGCGGAGGGAGCGCAAGGGGGGCGCCACCCTCAGGAGGTGTTTGTTTGTTTTTCCCCCTGCCCCCCTCTCCCCCCGAAACGGCCGGAGAAGCCCTCCGCGCGTCCTGCCTTCTGCTGTTCCTTCTCTTCCTTCTCCTGCTTTGCGAGATGCGTCAGCTGACCACCTCGGAGATCCCTCCTGGGCCCATCATGGGCTCAGGAGCGGTGTCGGCCGGGATCGGTGAGGTGGCCAGCTGACGTCACGCGGTCCTCTCTCCTCGCAGGAGGGGGATGGCAGCGCCTTGCCCTGATCGGGAGAATCTCGGAGAAGGTTGCCCGAGAGCGTCGCCGCGTGAGCGGTGCGAGGTGGTGCGCCCGTGTGAGCGGGGAGCTGCCGTGCAGGGCGGAACGTCGGAGAGTCGGCCAGAGACACAGGGGCAGCGTTAGGGGGGAAGGATGGGCTCAGAGGGGTTCGCGGGGGGGCGCATCAGCACCACATCGTCCACTGCACTGCTCGCTGACAGGGACCCGATGGCGCCATCCCGCCCAGGGACCTGCGGACTCGCTATCGTGGGCCTATCGCCGATGTGTCGACGATGTATCGCCGATTCCAGGTCGACGTGGCCCCCCCCCTGAGCTGGCCCCCCGCCCTGTCGTTGCTTCTCAGTGGGGGGTGGAGCGGCGGTGGGGCCTCACTCGGGGCGTGCGGGTGGTGTGGGTCAGCCCCAGCGGGGGCCAGCCAGTCCCATCGGCTCCCCTCCGGCTGGCGCAGGCTTTGGGAGCCACGTGTGCGGCCGACCCCCCACTCCTGGTCTGCTGGAGGTGTCACTCTTGGTGTTGGCGTCGCCGTTGTAGGAAAGCGACACCACCTTCACCACCAGGGGTGCCATCTCCAGCGAGGAGGTCCACGATGCCTCCCCAGGCTGGGGATAGGGGATGTCTCGAGCGGGGAGGGGGGACCGCCCCGCTAGGAGGACACGGTCATGGTGGCGATGGTGATGACCAGGAGGGGGGGATGAACAGGATCGGTGGCGCGGAGGGCGGGAGCCAGGACGAGAGGGACGACAGGCAGGAGGAGGACAGCACGGGGGAGCCAGGAGGAAGGCGAGGAGGGAGGCTGGAGGGCTGCGGCCCGCCGCGCGTCGTGCCGCGGTCGCGGCAGGCCGGCGGAGGCGAAGCGCAGCGCGGCCGGAAGACAGCGCGGCCGGCCTCGGCGGGCCCCCCGAGGCCGCCCGGGGAGGCCCGCGGGCGGGCCGGCAGCGGCCCGCCTGCGGGCCCACAGGGGGCCTTCAGGGAGCCGGGCCAGGCGGTCTCCCTCCTCCTCCTCCTCCCTCCTCCTCCTCCTCCTCCTCCTCCTCCTCCTCCTCCTCCTCCTCCTCCTCCTCCTCCTCCTCCTCGGGTCGCCTACGGCCCCGGCCGGGGGAAACCGTGCAAGCGTGCGGCCGCCGCTCGCCGGCGGCGGCCGCCCGCGCGCGCGCGTGCGCGGCGCCCCCCAGAAGACGATGTGCTCCTCCTTCAAGGTGCCCTTCATCTGCTCGGGCAGCGACAAGAGCTTGGGCTCCGGCGGCTCGGTCGGCTCCAGCGATTCGGCGGGGCGCCGCCTCCCGCCCTCCGCCCGCTCCGCAGGCCTCGCTCGAGGCCCCCACGACGCCCCCCCCCCCCCCTCCTGCCCTGCCCTTCCCACGGTGGCCTCTGCCCGCGTCGAAGGGCCCTGCCCTGCCCGCGTCGAAGGGCCCTGCCCTTCCACGATGGCGCTCTTGCCCCAGCGTGGGCCACATTGCTGGATCCGAGTCCTTTTCATCCTTGTCGCCCCCCGTCATTTCCACTCCTCGGCCTCCCACTGGTCCTCTCGCTTCTTCCACTCCAGCTCTTGCTTCTGCTGTTCGTCCTCGTCATCCCCTTTCCTCGTCCTCCTGTTCCTTCTGCTCATCCTCCTACTCATCCGCTACCTCTACCTCCTCGTCCTCTTAACATGTACGCAGTTCCCTTCTTCCGATTGTGCAAAACACGATGTAGTCTTCTCTGGAATTCCAGGTTTGCTATCACACGCGTCAGCGGATAGAGAAACACACATCCGGGATGGGTGGGAGGGGTCAGATGCCGGATATGGCGCGAGCACGCCCCGCTTGACCAACCTTCTCACTCCTCCACCTCATCCCTGCCTCTCGTCTCCCCATCTTCCTCATTCTCCATTGGGATGGGGGTGGGGGGGAGAGTCAGGGCAGGGATGAGTGCGCATGACTCATCGGCCCTTCCTCAGGGGGCCGTGCGTCGAGGAGTCATGCGTGGACCTCAATGTTGTGACAGTTGGCCCTGCCATGTCCGCCTCTGGAGCCGACCGCGCACTGGCAAGCTCAACGGTCCTTGCAGGGGACCTCCAGAGGGCCCAGAGGTTATTGTCCCAGCTGGCCAGGGCGGAGAAGCTAATCTACAGCGCCCTGCAGGCTATGCTCGGGCTCCTCAGTAGCAAGGTCCAAGCCATCAGGAAGATGAGCGAGGCACTTGCGGCCCAGGTGGGCGATGAGATTGAGGCCGAGGTCTTGGCTGAGGAGGGTCCTGAGGGTGGGAATTTGGAGATCCAGCGGGCGCTGGACCGCCTCGGGAGTCACCTCGACATGGTGAACTCGTGTCGCAGGGTGATCCACGATTGCCTGGATGATGCTGACCGGGCAGCGCGCAGCGGGACCATGTAGAGCCTCTCCCCCACCCCCTCCCCCTTCGCCCCTCCCAGAGGCGGCCGTGTGCGCACTGATCCCCCCTGCTTCTGGTGGGGGGGTTAGGCGTCTTGAGGGCTACCACTGCGGCCAGGAGTAAGGTCAGGGCATGGAGGGGGAGAGACCGAGGGAGGCAGCGGGCGGGGGGAGCGAGAGAGTGCTCGACGCCTACGGCTGCTCGACGCCTGCGGCTGCGGGCCGACGAAGCGCGGCCAGCAGCGAGGCGCGGGCGAGAAGGCGCGCCCCCAGCGCATCCGAGGCGCCGAGGTCGGGCTCGTTTCCGAGAGCCCTTCCTCCACCACCCCTTGTCCGGGTTCAGTTGGAGCTTGCTCGTGCCAGATCTCGGCGCGAGACCTGCAGCACCTGCGAGGGGCAGTAGAGGGAGGTGAGCGGGAGGGAGAGGCAAGCTGGCCAGCTCGAACGAGCCAGCCCCGCGCACCCCCGCCAACCTTTCCTCCGATGACATCCGGGTCGATGCTGGCATGACCCGACGTTCGGGCCGGCGCGCGTTCCCACCTTGCGAACGGAAGGATTTCGCGAGCGGCCCTGTTGTCGACGACTTGGCGAGGGGAATGCAAATGTGCCGCGTATAGGCGGGAACGGAACGTATCGACACTCCCTGCGTCGCGCCGACGCTGGAGCACCATTGTCAGAAAGCTTGCGCGCGGCGCTTGGTGCAGCTAGTCCGCCCGCTCGCACGCGGCCCCGCTTCTGCGCCCCACAGCTCGGCGAGCGAAGAATATCGCACGGCGCTCAGGCCAACCACCCACTTTCAGGCGAAATCTGCGCGGGGCTGGGCGTGAACTGCGTTTTGCCCGCCCGCCCGCCCGCGGCCCCGCCCGACGAATTCGAAACCAAAACGATGTCTTCCGGGCGCAAGCGGGCGCGCAACTTTCAGGAAACACATCTAGTTGCCTGCGACGACCTCCGCCGCCGCGCCACTACAGCGGCGCAGCAACGCAGCAGAAATGAGGCTTACGGCGCTTAGCAGGAGCGGGTCTTGAACACCACCTCTTTGTCCCGCAGCCTCATTATTCATGTCCTTTCTCTTCGCTCCTTCTCCTCTTCCCCTTTTCTCCTTCTCCTCCTCTTCCTCCTCCTCCTCCACAGTTACTCAATATGAATACTACTCTCCCTCTTCCCCTGATGACGGTTTGAAAGTGGCCGACACCCCCCGCGTACTATGAACTATGAGGCGCCGGCCTCATTTTCGGGCCCCGCTCGTTCCGAATCGTGCTCCCGCTGCAGCGCTGGCCTCATTTCCGTGCTTCCGCTCGTTCCGAATCGTGCTCCCGCTGCAGCGTTGGCCTCATTTCCGCGGTTCCGCTTGTTTCGACTCGTGCTACCACTGCAGCGCTGGCGTCATTTCCTGTGCCATGCCACGGCATGCAATGCAATGCTAGGTTGATACTACGCTTTGCGGTGCTCTTCTACGCTATGCCATGCCGTGCTCTACAATGCATCGCGTACCCTTTCGGGATCATTGCCCTGCTCGACATCCGACTGAGCGAGTAGAGAGGGGACTTGCGCCATGGTAAGGGATGGGAGGGGTGGGTAGGATGTCAGATATGACATATGACGCGAGCGCACCTAGCTTGTCCCACCCCCTCCTTTTCATCCTCACCCTCGTCCTCCTCTTCACTTTCCCCCCTCTCCTCTGTTGATCCCATTTCGCAGACTTCTTTGGGGCCTCTTGAGTGCTTCTTGCGAGTCGATTTGGGGTATCTGAGGGCCGTCGCCGTTTGGGGGGCAGTGGAAGTCTGTTGAAGGCTTCTGGTGGCTTTTTCTCAGGCCGCTCGTAGGCCATTTCGTACGGACTCCCAGGGGCGTCCTGGAGGCCTCCGTGGGCCTCTTGGTGGTGGTGGAGGCAAGAATTGGCAACACAAAAAAACGTTCCAAAGGCAAGCTCGAGATATCCCATTCGACCCCTCTTGGACTGTGTTTGGGGCTTGGGCCGTCCTGAGGCCCTCGTAGTATGTTCTGGGGTCCCGCTGGGCCGTCTTCGGGCATTCTTGGGGCGTCGTGGTGCCCTCTTGATGAACTGTTGGCCGTGATGTGTTTTTGTTTTGCGCCAGTACTTCGTTATCATGATTGGCGCCATCGACACACATCCCAACCGCCAGCGTCAGCAGTGTCATCGTCATTGTCCTCACCACAAGTGTCATCGCCATCACCATCGACGTCGTCACCATACCACGGTCGTCGTTACCGCCCTCGCTTCATCGCCAGGATGACAATCATTCTCGCCGTTGTTGCCGCGTCACCAGCAGGACTTCCCCATGAAGGTTCGTGGACCAGCATGATAAACCTAATCGCGTTGTTGTGCCAGCTGGGTGCTGCTTATAATCTGCGCGTGGGTGTGTACCATGTTATCTTGTTCATTGGAGTTGATGGTTCAAATATTTCACATATCAATCGCGCCATATGTAAGAATTTCAATACTGTACCCCCAACGTTGCACCATGCAGATTGCATCACACCGGTTCGTTGCGTACAGCGGGGACCCATGCCAAGACACACTTTGCTAGCCTCAAGGCTGCCCCGGGTTTCTTGGGTTTCGATGGTTTTGCGATGGAAAGTGTGACGTTCCCACACCAGAAATCAATGACGTCCTGTCGTCTCATGGTTGGGTTTCTTGTGGAAGGTTTCTTGCGGACTGGCCTCCGCACTGCTTACCATAGAGGTATAGACTGCACCATGGAGCCGCGTGTTTCCCCCCACTTAGATTGCACCGTACAGGATGCCCATCAGAAGTGGCACATCCAACATGCAATAACTCACCGGTTTGTGTCCGCGGTGGCACACGTATTCTCTTTCGACTGATTGTATGTAATTTCGCGTTTTCCAATTCTGATCCCTATTCGTCAGCTAGGTGGCAGAGTGTGACTACAGTTTAAGGATGCGGAGGTGCAGTACGGCGGGTGAGGTGGAGGAGTGGGAAGAGGAAGAAGGAACAGCAGGCGAATGAAGAGAAATAATGGGCGGAGGGTGTCTGTGTCATCGTTGGCCTCCCCGCGGTGCCCATGTGTCGTAGCGCTTTACTCAGCATCATGTGTCCCTCACTCTCGCCCCCGTCCTCTCCCTCCCTATCTCTCCCTTCTCCTTCCCTGACAAGTGGAACAAGGCAGAGAGAGAGAGAGGGAAAGAGCGCAGGAGAGTGCGAGGAGAGAGACAGAGAGTTAGAGAGAGAGAGATGACGAGAGGGAGAGGGGGGAGAGCAACGGATAGAGAGAGAGAGAGAGAGAGTAACACACCGATACGCGCGGGCCGAAGTCCGTGCGCGGGCAACAGGGGGCAAGCGCCGCTCGCCCTTACCTCCTTAGGGCTGGAGGGCAGCAGGACCGAACGAAGGTGGCCCCCAACGGCGAACGTGCGGCCCCCCGGGCACACCTCGTAGGATGCGACCGATTCGGCGTAACTCGCCAGCGGCACGAGTAGGATTTCACCGAGCGCGTTCCACTGCTCGCAGACGTCAAAACAACACATGATACTCGATGCACTGGAGCCTCGGCGCAATGGGTCCAGGCCACTTGCGTGCAGCTACTTTGCGAGTAGTGGGCCGCGCTTGCCCATCACTGCAGACCTGTGGTCTGGAGTAGTGAAGGCGCGGGGGGCGGCAGGCGGCGGTGGCATGCCGCCCTCCCCGCGCCTCTGGGGGGGCAACGCCCCCGCCAGAGCCCAAGCGCTACGCCACGGCCAGAGTGCCAGGCTGGAGCCTGGGACGGTGAAAAGGGGCGGCATCAGTGGCCGCGGGGAAGGAGACCTCCCTCGCACTGAGAGGGTGGAGTGGCCCCGGCGTCAGCGCCTGCGCCCCAAGGGCACGGGCACCCCCCGATCCCCCAGAGCACCGAGCCAGCCGTGCCAGGTGGCGCAGCCACCAAGGGGGTCCAGAGGGAACGAGGGAGGCACGCGGCAAGCATCTTGTTCCGCGGCGGCATGGCATGTTGAAGTGCACACCCGCACATCTGCGGGGTGGAGTTCGCATCCATTGTGCTTGGCTGGACGGTACATTGATCGACCAATCTCGGCATTTTGAGCTGAGGCGATCGCACTCGAGGAAGCTTTAGATTTTATCTGTAGCATCTGTTTCGAACTGGCCAGCATTAACGTGCTCCAATCCCAAGGAAAGAAAAACGAGGGAGACACAAGAGCCATCCCACCGCCACGGCACACTAAGGGGGTTTGCTCCCATCCCGAGGGTGCCGGTGGCCGGGAGGAGCGATCAGTCGGGGAAGTTGTTGACCGGGACGCCTCCGCGAATGGCTGGTGCCCGTGCAGCGGACGGTGTGCCCCGGGCCACAGCTGGGCCAGGGCGGGTTCTTGCCCTGGCAGTGGCGCGGACGCCGCATAGTAGGGATGAGCAACTTTCCAAGGTAGCCCTTGCATCCTTCTCCTTTGGCAAGGCCCTTACCTCCTTACCGTACGTCCTTATTGTACAAGTTGACTGTAGCGGATTTGGTAAGCGTCGCGCGACGGGTCCAGGCTAAGGCCACACGCCAAGACCGTGGAGACGACGGAACGGGCGCTTGCCTGCCAAGGGAACCCAGCAAGCGCGTCCGGTGTCGGAAGGCGAGCCCGTCGACGAGTGAAGGTAGAAGAAGGGGTCAGAGGGAAGTCAGTATGTCGGGTCCCACCCTGTGATGAAAGCGTCGGTCTATGCCATGCGACGCGGACAATTCGCCTGGGACTCATTCGTACTTCGACGGAAGAGGGCGCGCGTGAGTTACAGTCCAGCTTCGCCTGGGGGACGCCTGAGGCCCTCGTCAAGACAGAGCGTGAGGGCGTATGAGCTGCGGGCAAGAGTGAGCCATAGAAAGGCCCGAGGCAGGGAACGCAGTAGCTGCGAACTGAGCCGAACACACGTGTCGACAGTCATCGGCATGTGCGAAGGGGTGTGGCTTGTCGGCAGGTGCCCTCGGGGGGGAGGGGGGGGGGGGGGGGGGCACAGCAAGGCAGAGAACGGGTGGGGAGAGGACGTGCGCACGGTAGGCGGCAAGCACCCAAAAGGGGGGGATGCCAGGGCCGCGAGCGGTCCAGCGCGTCCGTCTGGGAGTCCTGGCCGTGGTCGGTGCCTGACGGCGTGGGCGGCGGTCCTTTGCGGAAGGGCCAGCTGCGGCCGGAAGGCTCCCGCAGTTTACGTCTGCAGCCGTCGTCCGGGTATGTCGACGTCCATTGCTGCCCCTGGGTCAGTGGACCCGTGTGGAGGCAGTCGGGAGGGCGAGGGTGAGAAGGAGAGATAGAGAAAGAGAGATAGAGAGAGAGGGAGAGAGATAGACATGGCGAGAGGGAGAAGGATAAAGAGAGAGAGAACACGCAAGCCATGAACACGTAAATCATGACAGCTGCAGCAAACAAATTATACACACATAGACACAATGAGGAGAAAGTGCGATGGAGTGGGAGAGAGGGGAAAGAGAGAGAGAGAGAGCGGCAGCGAACAAACGAGATATTTCGAGAACGTTGTGAGCAGAGGAGATCGATTTCTATACACTGAGAGAGAGAGAGAGAGAGAGAGAGACAGACAGACAGACAGACAGACAGACAGACAGACAGACAGACAGACAAAGACAGACAAAGACAGACAAAAACAGACAGACAGATATAGAGAGAGGGATAGAGAGAGGGAGAGTGAGAGAAAGCGAGGGCGAGGGTGCGAGGGCGCGAGAGAGCGAGAGCGTTAGAGCCCGAGAGCCGGCGGTGGGGCCGCAGGGGAGCAGCTCGAAGTGCTCGGGGGACAGCTGCTGCGCGGGCTCGTCGTGCTACGCCCTGCCCGGCATGGGCGCGCCGCGGGGACGGGTCGGCACGCGCGCGACGCGGGGGCGCCGCGAGGGGGGGCGGCGGGCAGCCCTGCAATCGGGGGGCTTCTCAGACGCCCGCCCGCCACGTGAGGGGCCTTCTCAGAAGCCTCCCCGGGGGCAGCTCCCGGAGCCCCCGCTGCCTTCTCAGGGGGCCGCCCCCCCCCCCGACCCCTCCCCGCGCTACCCCCGTTGCACAAGCTGTCAGGTGGAGGGCCGGGCGCCAGCCAGCGCCAAGGGGGGACCACAACCAAGGGCCTCCCGAGAGCCGAGGACCGAGGAGGAGGAGGAGGGGGAGGAGGGGGAGGAGGAGGAGGAGGGGGAGGAGGATCTGGGATCAAGAATCGGAGCGATTTCCACGTTTTTTGTGGGGGCGCCTCGAGGGGGGTTCTGGCGAGGCGAGGGGGGAGCGCAGGGGATCTTCCTCCCCCTCTTCCTGAGGAGGAGGTGGCGACCTCTGTAGAGCTGGCCATGACTGGCTTTGTCGGGGGGCAGTGCGAGTTCTTATTCCTCCTCGTCCTCCTCCTCGTCTTCCTCCTCGTCGTCCTCCTCGTCGTCCTCGTTCTCGTCCTCCTAGCTTTCCTCGTCTTCTTCCTCGTCCTTGTCCTCATCAGCGTCAGCAGGATCATCATAAGTGCTCCCGCACCGGTTGTGCTATCCTTTCTCCCTCTTCGCCGCCACATTGCCTTCTCCGCACGGCTGCTGCGGCTCTGCACTTGCCTGCCTTCAGTGCACGCTCGGGGCCTTACCAGGTTCAGTGCCGACGGGCTGAATCCTCCTGCGCTGGGCCCTGATCCCTCTCGTCGCTCATGGCTGGATCTCCCTTCTCCTTCCTTGCCCCCGCCTCCCCTGCCGCTCCCCCATCCCCAAGTATCTTCTTCTTCGCCGTTCCAGCCCATCCTCTACCATCCCCCCCTTACTCCTGCCTCTCTCTCTCTCTCTCTACATATATTCATATTTTATATTTTTCAGGGCCAGGGACCCCCCCGAGCGAATTTCGACCAGCCTGGGCGCCCAAGAGGCCGCCAAGATGGCTCCAAAGAGGTCCAATACGGTTCCAAGATGGCCCAAGATCGCTCCAAGACAGTTCCAAGACGGTCGAAGAGGCCCCCACAAGGCGCCCCGAAGAGCCCTAAAAGCACGCCAAGCCAAATTCGTTCCCTTCCTTAGGGGAAGTTTGGACTGGGCCGCCTGGACTGGGGCCGCCTGAACACGCCTCCTGGGGCCGCCTTGAGACGCTTCCTGGGGGCGCCTGGAGAAGTCTTCAAGTGCCGCCTGAACACGCCTCCTGGGGCCGCCTGGACACGCTTCCCAGGGCCGCCTGGAGACGCTTCCTGGGGCCGCCTGGAGAAGCGTCCTGGGGCCGCTTGGAGACGCCGCACACGGCCGCCTGAACACGCCTCCTGGGCCCACCTGCCTGGTGAGGCCGCCTGGAAAAGCTTTCTGGGGCCGCCTGGAGTGGCCGCCTGGAGAGCCCTCCTGGGGCCGCTTGCTGAGGCCGTCTGGAGAAGCCTTCTGGGGCCGCTTGAAAGCCGCTTCCTGGGGCCGCCTGGAGAGGCCTCCTGGGGCCTCCTGGGCCCTCCTGAAGGGTGTGCCGAATAATTCAGCTGCCCCCGCGCGAACGCGCCCACTGAGGCCGCAGGTGTACCTCCTCTGGGCACAACCCGTGCGAGGCATGTTCCGACATGACGCCATGCGAAGTTGCCAGTTGGTACCGCATGTGGAACTCCTTCTGAGGCATGATTCGCGTGACGGCTGTGCCGACGTGGGCGGGGGAGGGCGTTGTACGAATCATGCCTTTGGGCTTTTAGGTGGTGCTCCTTGTGGGCACGATCCACGTGATTGTGCTGTGCCGCACTGGCCCAAGAGCGCTCTACGAGGGACGACGATCGCACCAAGACGACCTCAGAGGCCCCCCCCAGTCGCCCCAAGAGGCCACCGCGAGGACCTCCAGGAGGGACCTCCAGGAGGGACAAACCATACCGAACATGTTTGAAGGATTTTGGGGCTCTGTTTTTTTTGTGTTCGGACCAAAAGCGGCCAAACACGGTTCTAACACGCCCACTCCGCGCAGGCACGGAGACGAATCGAAATGATATTATTTAATATTCTATATACAAATACGGTATGCATATAAATAGTTATATATAAGTATATACATATGCAACCATATATCTATATACAGTCTGATCCAACACAGGGTAGTAGATCATGACAGTGTATACGATGCTATAACGTCTTGGAAGACCCTAGGACACACTATACTGTAACCAGGTGTAGGATCCTACACTAAATTATAACACGATATATTATAAGGTAGTGCGCTCGATTAGACCATCGCAGACTATATCATCATACGACCTAGTGTTTGTTATATAATATTGCACTATAGTTTTGCATTGCACACCATATCATAACGTAACATGCCATATTCTGATATAGTGCAATATCATAAAACATGGACGGGTATGATGTTCTATTATATCCTAATACCATATAACATAGTATGATCAAATCCAATATAATACATTGCACTGTACTGTGCTAGATTGTACGATGGTATACTATCATTTAAGACGCTAAAATCTCAGGCAGTATGGCATATCCTACTACAGTATACCATATCATATGATACAATACTGTACTAATTCATACGATCATATCACTTAACATGAACTCATGTCACACATTATAACATAACGCTATGATATGATATGCGTGTCTTAGTACAACATACTATACCATACTATATATACAAGACTGCAGTGGCGCTTCGCGCCATGCACCTCGGTCCTTGAAGTTTGGTATGCAGGCGGAAATGACAGGAAGGTCAAGCCGACAATTTAGCGATAACTCCTGGTTGCCTTGTCTGGCATCGCCGTTATGATAATGTTGTTCGTTATCCTTCCTCCATGCTTATTTTTCCTCATTATTGCCATACCCTGGGCATTCTCCCCATCCTCCTCAGCTCGTTTTGCGGAGGCTCCTCCTTGGGAGAGCTTCTGGGGGCCTCACCAAAGTTCTCAGGCTTTCTTCAACCCTTCTGGAGGCCTCCTGGGTGTGTTCTGGGGGCCACTGGGGCTTCTAAGGCCAACCTGCCTCTAACCGCGGTCTCCCTGAACGCCCCAGTCACGATTTGCGGAGGGTGTCTTGGGGCCATCTTGGGCCACCATGGTGCTCTCTTAGGGCCATTTTGGACCCCTGTTGTGCCGTTTTGAGGCTCTCTTGGACTGCCTGGAAGCCCTTTCGGATGGTTGTGGGGCGATTTGGGAGCCTCCCAGGCGGCTTCGGACGCCTAGGAGACCGCCGTCTTGGAGCGTCGGGAAGCCGAAAAGAGGAGAACCCCAAATGCACCAAAAACCTGCATAGAATCAATGATTTGTCCCTCTTGGGGCCTTCTTGGGGGTGCTCTTGGAGGCTTCTTGGAGCGCTCTTGTGCTGTTCTGGGGGTCTCTGGGACGTCTCCGGTGACCCCCCTGATCGCCCTGAGTGTGCTGCGAAGGCTTGGTGAAACGCCTTGCGAGGCCCAGGGGGCCGCTTCGAGGCCCGTCTGGAGGGTCCCAAAGCTCCAGATCCCGGGGGTCCGGTTTTAGGGGGGCGGACGGGTTTCCCCCCCGCCCGGGCTTATAAAAATATAGGGAGAGGAATATACACTCCAGTCAATATCACATTTTAATATATATATATATATATATATATATATATATATATTATAATGCATTTGATATTTTATCATGTAGCATGATAACTGCAAGATTGTATAATATGATAGAATATACCGGGGGACCCGGTCCCCGGCCCCTGGGGCGGCACACTTTTCCCAAACTCCCTCCCGTTTTCGGAGGGCCCAAAGGCGCTCCCCAGACGGTCCAGGAGGCTTCTGAGACGGTCCAAGAGCGCGCCAAGACGCCCAAGATGGCTTCTAGACGGCCCGAGAGGCCCCCCAAACTCCCCAAGAGAGCTCCGAGAGGACACCTATGACTGCCGCAAGATACAAACATCGCTCCAATTCTCCAGGGAAGCGTATATTTTTAGCGTCTCTCCTTTTTGGTATGAAAAGCGCCCACGACGGCATCAGTGAACCCCAAGATCGCCCCAGGACATCCAAAGAGGCCTCCAAAACGTCCCAGGAGGCCCTCAAGTCCGAGTCTGCTCTGGCTCTGGACATTCGTCTCGAGCGAAGCGTTCAGAGTCCTATTTGGAGCGCATCGTGTGTGTTGTGCACGGCGCCGTGCCACAGCATACATGGCGTCTCAGACACAGAGCTCTGTTTCGAAGCCTAGGTGTGCTATCCCAGAGATTGGGCGACAATTATTTCAGCCGTTTGAAGCGAAAGGTCAACAATTCGTGCATACGTATTGGCCAGTAACATATTCGGCACGATGCACGGAGTGAATGCAGTAACACTTCTTGTTGCCAGTATCGCGCCTCTTCTGTTCCCAGCCCTGGACGAACACGGGGGTTTCAATTCTGGAGCAGAAGTTGGTATCGCCTCCATTTGTATGATCATGGGGTTTTTCAATGTTGGACTTGCGTGGCGATGCTGGTGGCTTAGCAGTGCGCGCTCAAATTTCCTTGATGCACCACCGACTCCTTGCATCCCGCTTCTAGAAGGTTACTGTCATCATGCTGGCATTGTCCTCTAATGTTGTTCTTTGCTTCTGGCTCATCCACAACAAGACCAGCCCGACTATGCCAGCGATTCTGCCCGTGTGGAGGGTACGCAGCATTGAAACGCTGATCTTTTGTTTCTACGCAATCAGCCTCTACGGAGCCTACTCGAGAAACCTGCTCGAGGCTGAGGACGGCTCGACGAGCGAAAGCGTCAAGTCGAAGGCCAACGTCTTTGCTGGCATGTATGGCCTGATTGTGTTCCTCGTGGGGTGTGCGGACATCTACTACCTTCTGATGGACACTTACCACGAAGATGGGACTGGCACTCAGCTGTATAGGCCAGCTGTTCACGTGTTTTGGGCAGTCTGCTTGCTTTTGACCCACAGTTTCACCTCCTGAGCAGCCCCTGGATATGACTATCGATATTGCACCTGCAAGCGAGGTAGGCAAGCACGATGAATCGATAGGGCAATCGCCACGAAATTGTACTCTTCCGTCCTGCCTCGAATACTTCACGATTGTGCAATTGCTGAATGATCCGATTCAGAGCCGCATCATTTATTCGAGGCGCTTCCTCGGCGCAATCCACGAAGTGTTCGGCCTTACGTTGCTCATCACAGGGGGCTTGATGCTTTCTATCCCCACCCTTAGGCCACAAGTATTCGACCATCCAGCTAAAGTGATTATCGGCTCCTTCAATCTGTGTTTCGGTTGGGACTACTTTCTCGACTCTTGGATCTCAGTCTTCTGCTGCGCCTTCAATATATACATATATATATATATATTTGAGCTACCGATTCGCGTGGCTTGCGGATTTACGGAGAGCGTTTCTTCAAAGCGAGTGCCCTTCTATGTGATGCGCAATAGAAGACGTGGTGCAAGCTATCATGAGAAATCTACGTTGTGCAATCTATGTTGTGCATTCTTGTTGGGTAATCTATGTGGGACGGCGACGGGGCGGCGACAGCTGCAACAAAGGCAGCGACCGACAGAGAGGTCCAGGCGACGGGCGGCGACGGGGCGGCGACGGCCGGCAAGGAGCCGCCAGACCGACACATAAACCCAGGCGACGGGCGGCGACGGGGCGGCGACGGCTGGCACGGAGCCGCCAGACCGAGACACAGGCGCAGTTATCTAGACCAGAAGTAAGAACCCCAAAGTGCAATTTTTTCAGGGGAAACTAGGAGAGCCCAGGGGAGGCTGAGGAGTGGATTTACATATGGATTCCCTTTGTTGCGATTTGTTATGGCTTTTGCACTTTGTGTGGGGGGGCGGTGTCTGGGGGCCGATACCGCGGCTACGGCCACGCCCGCGGCGACGGCCGCCCGCCGCGCCGGGCCCGCGAGGCTGCGACTCCTCGCGCGGGAGCGTGAGGTGCGCCGGGGCCAGCCTGCCGATGACCGCCGGGCGCGCCGCGGGGGGGGGGGAGCGGGGCGGGGGACGACAGTGGCGTTGTTGACAAGTCCAAATATCCGGCGTCTCGAAAACATCGAGACAGAGGTTTTCACAGCGATCGGCCCCTCGAGGCCTTTACCCAGCATCCGGACCGTCAACAAAACGACTCTGGATGAGAAGTTGGCCCGGGGAAAGAGGTCCAGAGGTTGGGGACCCGTGACGCCAGATGTCTTGGAAGATGGTGGTGGCGGCAGGCGGCGGCGGCGGCACCCGCGAAGGCGGCAAAGAAGTTTCTGGCGCCCGAGGAAAAGGTTGTTCCAGGGACCCTCCCTGGGCCTGCGCAGAGTCGGGGCCCACTCGGCGCTGGGTGGACCGCTGGTCGCGCTCGATTCCATGCATGGCGTTTGGAGTTTGGCCGGGTCGGCATCCGAGCGGGTCCGACTTGGCGGGCCAAGGGGCTCAGACGCCGAGCGGACTCAGAAGGGAGCCTTGGGGCAGGGAGGGAGCGGACGGGACGTCTCTGGAGGAGGAGGAGGAGGAGAAGGAGGAGGCGGAGGAGGAGGAGAGGAGGAGGATGCACCGCTGCCTTTACTCACGAGAGGAGGATCAAGGGGAGGAGAGGGAGGAGGAGGAGGAGGAGGAGGAGGAGGAGGAGGAGGAGGAGGAGGAGGCGGAAGAGGTATCCGAACGACCGACCGAGGAGGAGGTCGGAGATCAAATGGCCACGTTATTTCTTGGGGGAGGCAGCGCAAGCACCTCGAGAGCCGAGCGGATGGATCCGTACCGTTCCAGAGCCCCCATCAAAACTGCAAGCGTTTG